AATGCGCGAAAAGTATTGAATTCAGGGCCATGATGGTTGAAACAAAATTAAATTGTGCGGAACGAAAGTATTTATACGACAGTTCCCTTAACACAGGATTTTGGAGTATTAAGCATGTGGGGGAAAGGGAAGAGAGAAAGAGAGAAAGAGAGAAAGAGAGAGAGAGAGAGAGAGAGAGAGAGAGAGAAGAGAGAGAGAGAGAGAGAGAGAGAGAGAGAGAGAGAGAGAGAGAGAGAGAGGAGAGAGAGAGAGAGAGAGAGAGAGAGAGAGAGAGAGAGAGAGAGATAAAGAAAGAGAGAGAGAGAGAGAGAGAGAGAGAGAGAGAGAGAGAGAGAGAGAGAGAGAGAAATAGATAGATAGTCAGATAGAGAAAGCCAGAAAGAGACAGTGAACCAGAGAGACAGAGACAAATAGACAGAGGGAACGAGAGCAAGAGAGACAAACAGAGAGACAGAGTTATGAATACCCAAACAACCTTTCACAGCCTCACTTTCTTCGTCCAACAGAAAAGTAGTGCAGCTTAGCTTACGGAATACACTATGCGGTATTTGTAAACAAGTACATGTTAGCGGAGGAGGAGCAATGTATTTCAATTTCTCTCTCGCACAAAAGGATGTATCTTCCGTCGGTGGTAAATACTGCTGTTTCTTACTCCACAGTGCCAGTTCATTTGGGTTAAATGTATCTCTTCATTATTTCTGTTAAAATGCTTTTTTTTATACTAATTCTGTTAAAATTATATCTTCATTAATCGTTTAATTTAATCTTTCATTTCATTCTGTTAATAGCATCTGCTCATTAAATGTGTTAAAACTACCTCTTCGTTAATTCTATCAAAAGTATATCAACATTAATTCTGCTAAAAGCCTCTTAAAAGTAACTTTTATTGTTGCATGTTGCCAAACAAACGAAGACGAATAAATGCACTTATGCATGCATGCAATATATGAAAAAGGAGATGTCAATTGCATAAGGCTCGGGGTTGGCAGAGATAGCCAGAACGAGAAGAGAGCACAAGTAAAGATAAACGGGAAGAGAACACATAGATATAATAATAAAGAAACGACTAATAAAAAATAGGGAAAGGCAACAAAAAACAAAAAAAAGTGTGAAGCAAATAAACAAAAGTGACAAACAACAAATAAGGAGACACAAGGGGAGACAATAGAGAAAGAGAGACAGAGAGAAACAACAAATAAAGCGAGAGAGAGAGAGAGAGAGAGAGAGAGAGAGAGAGAAACAACAAATAAAGCGGGAGAGAGAGAGAGAGAGAGAAACAACAAATAAAGCGAGAGAGAGAGAGAGAGAGAGAGAGAGAGAGAGAGAGAGAGAGAGAGAGAGAGAGAGAGAGAGAGAGAGAGAGAGAGAGAGAGAGAGAGAGGCAACAAAACAGGAACGGTGCCAAAGAAGACATATTCAGGCACAGATGAAGGGCAGGTTTTATTTGGAGTAACTTGGTATGACGAAATCCTCTAAGCTTTTTAAACCTCAATAACCCACGTGGGGTGAAAGGAGATCCTAAAAAAAAAAAAGAAAAGAAAGAAAAAAAAAAAAAAAAAAAAAAAAAACGTAAATTCATTAAAAACAAAATCGAGATGGTAACGATAATGAAATTTAAAGAAAAAATAATAAGGGAAAATAGAAAGAATAAAATCCCTCATCCTCCTAAAAAAATAGAAATACAGATAACGAAGAAGGGAAAGAAAATAAAAGATAATAAATAAAACAAAAGTCGTGTAAAGGAAACAGACACAGTTCTCATTCCCCAAAAGGTCGGCCACGCAGCAAGCTCCCGGAAGCGTGCATTAATAACTCGAATAACCGAGTCCCTTCACTTCCACTTGCATTTCCGCGTGGCATAGGAAGAAAAAACATGATAAACGGGGAGAGAGTGAGAGAGGAGGAGGGGGAGTGTGAGAGAGGGGGAGGGGGAGAGGGAGAGGGAGAGGGAGAGAGGGGAAGGAGAGGAGAGGAGAGAAAGAGAGAGAGGGAGAAGGAAAAGGAAAAGGAAGAGGAGAAGGAGAAGGAGAGGAGAGGAGAGACAGAGACACACACACACACACACACACACAGAGAGAGAGAGAGAGAGAGAGAGAGAGAGAGAGAGAGAGAGAGAGAGAGAGAGAGAGAGAGAGAGAGAGAGAGAGAGAGAGAGAGAGAGACAGACAGACAGACAGACAGAGACAGAGACAGAGAAAGAGAGAGAGACGAAAGAGACAGAGTGAGAGAGAGAAACGAAAGAGATAGAGTGAGAGAGATAAACAGATATATATACAGGCAGAGGCACAGACAGACAGACAGACAGACAGACAGACACAGAGAGGAAACATCACCTACTAACCACCTAACTGATTCTGCTCCCTGCTTGTTTCCATTTCACCACATTTTACCTTTAAACGAAGACGCCGAACTGCAGCCCAGGACGCAGCACAGCACAAGCAGACCTATGCCTGAGGGCGATCTCTGCCTCCCCCTCACAGACATCTCCGCTCCTTACAAGGGGCGTCTCGGGAAGTGAGAAGGAGGACAGAAGGGCGAGAGAAGGCCAGAAAAGCAGGCACTGAGCAGGCACTAAGCAGGTGTTTTTGCCTCATGACCCGCAACCTCTGGCCAGTCACGCTCTCCGCTGTCGAACAGAGCGGGCCTGGTAATTGTCATGTCCGCATTGGATGATACCTCTCTTCCTCTGACAAAAAAAAGAGAAAGAAAAATATATATCAGATGCAGGGAAAACCGTAACAAAAGTATCATGTAATTTGTCTTACACGTTTTTGAAAAAAAGTCTAAATCCACCAGCAAAGAAAACGACAGCCCCATTATTCTCTCCCGTCAGATTTACAAAACACAACAGAAGAAAAGAAAGAAAGAAAAAAAACAGGAAAATAAAAAACAAAACAAAGAAATATAATAATAAAAAAAACACACACACAAATCCATCCCTAAGTAAGTAACACTAGAGTGACGCACACACGTACAGAACAGCAAGGGACCCCCAGCCATCGTGAATCTAGAACGGATGTTTGGCCGGACCGGGTGTAACCAGTCCCCGCTTTCGAGTGACTAACGTTGTATCTTCCACCTTCCATTTTCAAAGGTCAACTGGTATTAGCGAGAACGAGGGAGAGAAGGCATTGTCCGAGATGCTTTTCTTGCTAATAGTATCCTTTTTTATGTTATCTGGTTTCCTTATTATCATGGGAAGATATATATATGAAGGTATGAGGGATGTAGGATGTTTCAGAGCCGTGCACGGATATATAGGCCTATGCGGTCAGTATCTAGATTGCAAGAGTGGGAATAATACATCTGTAAATAAAAAAAAAATGTGGCTAATTCGTGATATAATTTATGAAATGTAAGATCGTCCAACACGAAAATCCTGACAGACGAATGTTCGCTGCCATTACAATTTGAGCAACGACTGTGGCAATGATTGCATGCAGATTGACTAGGCCGTGTTGCACAAAAGACGGCTCGCTCGCTCTCTCCATCCTCCCAACTCTCTCTCTCTCTCTCTCTCTCTCTCTCTCTCTCTCTCTCTCTCTCTCTCTCTCTCTCTCTCTCTCTCTCTTGCTCTCTCTCTCTCTTGCTCTCTCTCTCTCTCTCTCTCTCTCTCTCTCTCTCTCTCTCTCTCTCTCTCTTGCTCTCTCTCTCTCTCTTGCTCTCTCTCTCTCTCTCTCTCTCTCTCTCTCTCTCTCTCTCTCTCTCTCTCTCTCTCTCTCTCTCTCTCTCTCTCTCTCTCTCTCTTGCTCTCTCTCTCCTTGCTCTCTCTCTCTCTCTCTCTCTTGCTCTCTCTCTCTCTCTCTCTCTCTCTCTCTCTCTCTCTCTCTCTCTCTCTCTCTCTCTCTCTCTCTCTCTCTCTCTCTCTCTCTCTCTCTCTCTCTCTCTCTCTCTCTCTCTCTCTCTCTCTCTCTCTCTCTCTCTCTCTCTCTCTCTCTCTCTCTCTCTCTCTCTCTCTCTCTCTCTCTCTCTCTCTCTCTCTCTCTCTCTCTCTCTCTCTCTCTCTCTCTCTCTCTCTCTCTCTCTCTCTCTCTCTCTCTCTCTCTCTCTCTCTCTCTCTCTCTCTCTCTCTCTCTCTCTCTCTCTCTCTCTCTCTCTCTCTCTCTCTCTCTCTCTCTCTCTCTCTCTCTCTCTCTCTCTCTCTCTCTCTCTCTCTCTCTCTCTCTCTCTCTCTCTCTCTCTCTCTCTCTCTCTCTCTCTCTCTCTCTCTCTCTCTCTCTCTCTCTCTCTCTCTCTCTCTCTCTCTCTCTCTCTCTCTCTCTCTCTCTCTCTCTCTCTCTCTCTCTCTCTCTCTCTCTCTCTCTCTCTCTCTCTCTCTCTCTCTCTCTCTCTCTCTCTCTCTCTCTCTCTCTCTCTCTCTCTCTCTCTCTCTCTCTCTCTCTCTCTCTCTCTCTCTCTCTCTCTCTCTCTCTCTCTCTCTCTCTCTCTCTCTCTCTCTCTCTCTCTCTCTCTCTCTCTCTCTCTCTCTCTCTCTCTCTCTCTCTCTCTCTCCCAGGACGCAGCACAGCACAAGCAGACCTATGCCTGAGGGCGATCTCTGCCTCCCCCTCACAGACATCTCCGCTCCTTACAAGGGGCGTCTCGGGAAGTGAGAAGGAGGACAGAAGGGCGAGAGAAGGCCAGAAAAGCAGGCACTGAGCAGGCACTAAGCAGGTGTTTTTGCCTCATGACCCGCAACCTCTGGCCAGTCACGCTCTCCGCTGTCGAACAGAGCGAGCCTGGTAATTGTCATGTCCGCATTGGATGATACCTCTCTTCCTCTGACAAAAAAAAAGAGAAAGAAAAATATATATCAGATGCAGGGAAAACCGTAACAAAAGTATCATGTAATTTGTCTAACACGTTTTTGAAAAAAAAATCTAAATCCACCAGTAAAGAAAAGGACAGCCCCATTATTCTCACCCGTCAGATTTACAAAACACAACTGAAGAAAAGAAAGAAAGAAAAAAAAACACGAAAATAAAAAACAAAACAAAGAAATATAATAAAAAAACACACACACAAATCCATCCCTAAGTAAGTAACACTAGAGTGACGCACACACGTACAGAACACCAAGGGACCCCCAGCCATCGTGAATCTAGAACGGATGTTTGGCCGGACCGGGTGTAACCAGTCCCCGCTTTCGAGTGACTAACGTTGTATCTTCCACCTTCCATTTTCAAAGGTCAACTGGTATTAGCGAGAACGAGGGAGAGAAGGCATTGTCCGAGATGCTTTTCTTGCTAATAGTATCCTTTTTTATGTTATCTGGTTTCCTTATTATCATGGGAAGATATATATATGAAGGCATGAGGGATGTAGGATGTTTCAGAGCCGTGCACGGATATATAGGCCTATGCGGTCATTATCTAGATTGCAAGAGTGGGAATAATACATCTGTAAATAAAAAAAAAATTGTGGCTAATTTCGTGATATAATTTATGAAATGTAAGATCGTCCAACACGAAAATCCTGACAGACGAATGTTCGCTGCCATTACAATTTGAGCAACGACTGTGGCAATGATTGCATGCAGATTGACTAGGCCGTGTTGCACAAAAGACGGCTCGCTTGCTCTCTCCATCCTCCCAACTCTCTCTCTCTCTCTCTCTCTCCACTTCCCTTTCGATTTCACTTTCCATTTCCTTCCACGTCTCCCTCCCTCTCTATCCCTCTTACTCTCTCCCTACCTACCCCCTCCCCCTCCTTCCCTCCTCTCCTTTTCACTCTCTCACCTTCCCTCCCTCACTTTTTCCCTCCCTCTTACCTTCCCCCCTTTTCCCTCTCCCAACCCTCTTTTTTCCCCCTCTCTCCTCCCTTCCCTCCCCCCCTACCCACTCGCTCCCTGCCTTCACATGAGAGTTCGTGATGGGTTGGGCGCGGGTGTATTCGTAGCAAGGTCAGACGAGATGACGCTATAACGGGCATGCAGTCTCCCCCGCGGCTGACCTTGATAGGGAGTGGGGTCGGCGGTGAGTGGGCAGGGGTAGCGGGGGGGGGGTTGTTGTTGCTAATGAGGTGCGTAATAAGGTTATACCATGTATTGTCTTGGGGAAAGGAATTGTGTTTGATAATTAGTTGTTGAAATGGATAGTGGAGATAGCGATGATGACGATAGCGATGTTTCATTATGATGACTGATGCTGATGAGATTGGTAAGTATTGATTATGATAGCCATAGTAATAATGATAATTATAAAATCATAAAAATGATGATAATGATGGTAATACTTGTGCTATTACTATTACTACTACTAACAACGACGACAACGACAGCAACAGTACTAATGCTAATGATATGAATGATAATGATAAAATAATAGTAAACAACATTAAGAAGTTATGATGTTTACAAACCATTGAAAAAAAAACCGGAAAACTATAATAACGAATCGATCTAATAAAAAAAGTAAGCAGATTCAGAACTAACTTCATATATACTACGAATTATCATTATCAGTTATAATTTCTTATCAGCTACTTCCATAACATGATTTTTTTCTCCTTTCATTCTTTCCTTCTAAATTACATTATCCAAAGTCGGCTCTGACCTTACCACGACCAGATTCTTAATGGCTATACGAAATCGACTTGTATGCTAACTGATTTTGCTGTTGTAGGCCTATACTTAAGAATAATTGCCTATAACAACTACTTCGTCCATTTCTACCACAAACACCTATTCTTTTCACTTATTTACTGTCCCAACATATCTACTAACATAACATTTTTTTTTTAAATCCCAAACGTACTTGAACATTCTCTCCCTCTCTCGTCATCATAGAGTAGATACTAGCACGTGTTCAAATAATAAAAAAATATATAACAATACCCGTTCGTATCTTTGTTATTACGACTATTGTTTGACATTACCCGCCTGCTTGTAATGCCACGTTTGATATTTGAAGTCAAGATCCCTGAACTCCACTATCAATAGTTGTTAATCTCGTGACATTAGCAAGTATAAGGCGTAAGAAATGACCGTTAAAGTCAGTCAGCCAAGCGAAGCGAAGGGGAGAGGGAGAGGGAGAGAGAGAGGGAGAGGGAGAGGGAGAGGGAGAGAGAGAGGGAGAGGAGAGAGGAGAGGAGAGAGAGAGAGAGAGAGAGAGAGAGAGAGAGAGAGAGAGAGAGAGAGAGAGAGATGGAGAGAGACAGAGACAGACAGAGAAGAGAGAAGAGAGAGAGGAGAGAGGAGGAGAAGAGGAGGAGAGAGAGAAGAGAGAGAGAGAGAGGAGAGAGAGAGAGAGAAGAGAGAGAGAGAGAGGAGAGAGAGAGAGAGGAGAGAGAGAGAGAGAGAAGAGAGAGAGAGAGAGAGAAGAGAGAGAGAGAGAGAGAGAGAGAGAGAGAGAGAGAGAGAGAGAAGAGAGAGAGAGAGAGAAGAGAGAGAGAGAGAGAAGAGAGAGAGAGAGAGGAGAGAGAGAGAGAGGGAGAGGGAGAGAGAGAGGGAGAGGGAGAGAGAGAGAGAGAAGAGAGAGAGAGAGAAGAGAGAGAGAGAGAGAGAGGAGAGAGAGAGAGAGAGAGGGCAGTAAGGGTCAAACCTTCATCGTAATATCAACTATTGCCAGTGTCTGTCTATATCTCTATCTGTCTGCCTGCCCGTCTCCCCTCTTCCTTGGTCATCCTCCTCCACCACTCTTCTCATCTTTATCCGTGCATCCCCTGTTCTTTCCTCTTCATCTCTCCCCTTCTCCCACATCTTCACAA